CACCTCCAACACTGTGGATTGCATTTCAACATAAGATTTGGAGGGGACATCCAAACTACATCAGGCACTCATCCTATTTATGAGAGCAGAGCGCTCCCAAAGGCCCCACCTCCTAATACCATCACCTCCAGGGTTAGGGTTCAAGAGATGAATTTTGTAGGGACATACATTTAGACCATAGCATATGTCTTATATAAGAATTTTAATTTCAATTTGCAGGTGATTTGTATTTGCATAGAGACTGAAGTATTTTTTTAAAATCACTGGAGTATAGATACTAGTCTTAAGAGCAAAGGCCCACTTCATTCAGCCATGTAGATTGTGCACTGCAGAACTCCAAGGAATGCTCAAAGGGAAAGATGTGTGAGAAATGATTTAATTTTATTTGTGATTGGTTCATCAGTGATTTTGATGTTATGATAATGTTTTCCTATGCAAGCATGTAATTACAGGGACGCAGATAATCAATAATGTGGTCATGAGAACTCCCTTTCCCTGCCACTGGTGGTTAATACAAATTGTTGATTGACTGACTGAATATGCTACATCTGCTTTTCCTATGTCATTTAATATTGAGTTAATGTCTCTAAGAAAATATCCATAAGCAACATTTATGAGACAAATAGAGTAATCACAAACACATAATATAGAATTTTTAGGCACTGGCTCTGCTTAAGACATGTGCTGCACCAGGCACTGCAAGGTATACAAGCATACATTAGTCATTAGTCGTGGTCAGTTGTGAGACTTACACATCCAAGGGGTGATGAACAGTAATTGCTAAAACACAATGTTGATTTTCTGTAATAAACACACCAACATTTAGATATTCAAAAGACTGTTGTACCTTTTGATGCTTCAGGAACCTTCATTTATTTATTCATTTATTCCATTCAAGAAATATTTTGAGGACCTACTGTAGGTGATAAGCATTAATCTAAGTACTGGAGATGCAGCAGTGAACACGTAGCACTAATGAAATATCTAGTCAGAGGGGATAGATGATATAACAACAGATTGATAAACAAGAAAAATAGCAGATAGTGAGAATTTAAATTATGTAGGATAAGAACATGATGTGTCAGGACCACTTTAGTTGGAGCAGTCAAAGATGACTTATTTGAGCAGGGGATGTGGAAGCTGATCAGCCATGTGCCAATGAGGGGAGAGCATCCCAGACAGGGCAGTTAGAGCTTGGTGTGCTTCAGGAGCACCAAGGATGCTGGCATGGGTGAGAGGAACCTATCTGTAGGGGATTACAAGAGCTCAGGTTTTATTCTCAGTTCCATGAAAAGCCAAGTAGGATAGCTAAGATGTTGACATACTTTGCTAAAAGTTTACTGTGGCTGCTGTATGGAGAATGGGATTGCAAGGGGATAAGTATAGGATCAGAGAGAATGGTTAGGGGACTATGGCAACAATCCAACTGAGAGATGGTGGGGTTTGGACCAGGGTGGTAGTAATGGAGATAGAAATAAATAAGCAGATTGGGATATAGGTTTTTGGAAGTCAGGTTGACAGAACTTGACTGCGCAACTGAATGTGAGAGTTGAAGGAAATAGAAATTTAGAGTAATTCCTACGTGTTTGGTTGGACTAACTGTGGAAGTGATGGTCCTCCATATGTGGGAAAACTGGCAGGGAGTAAGATGAAGCAAGGTGAGATGGGTAGGGTCTTAGGAATTCTGTTTTCACCATTTTAAGTTGTCTAGATATCCACGTGGAGTTGTCAAGTAGGCAGTTTAATTTAAAATTCAAAAGAAGATCTCCATTTCCCATTGAGAAGATAAGAAATAAGTTGGGGCTAAGTTTTAGGTTTGTGGCTGAAATGGTTAAAATGTCTATTTTTATATTGATTTAACACTTCAGTAACATGTCCATATTTGAAATCACATCCGATATGTTAACTTAGACATACTGCTTTTTTCCTGTCTTATCTTTTCCAAGACAGTTTTATTTGAAAGCTTCCTATGCATTGTTGGCAGCTTCACATGCATTTTTAGCATCAGTGTCTTTGGCACTATTAGTGCAATTCTGGGGGCTACATAAGCAAATCCCACAGTGTGTCGCCTTCACTTCTAAGGTTTTGAGATACTGAATTATTTTAATTAATATATGTTGTCCTCACTGGAAATTTTGTCCTAAGTCACAGCATGCATCTATGAAACATTGGGACAATTATATGTTTTTAAAAATCAGTGTAGGTATACGCTTGTGATTTGTACAATACACTTACCTACCATATTGCTTTCATGCTTCTTCAAATTTGTAATACCTCTTTATTAGGAAGTCAGTCAATTCATAAGGCCTGTGAGGTTATTTTCCTTTAAATTACTCATTGGATATTTTTTAATTTATTTTTTAATTGATAAGAATTTTATGTATTTAAGGTGTACAGCATGATGCTTTGGTGTATGTATACATTGTGGAATGGCTAAGTCAAGCTAATTTGTATATGCATTGCTTCATACTTATCTTTTTTTGTGGTGAGAACCCTTAAAATCTTCTCTTTCAGCAATTTTTAAATATACATTATTATTAACTATGGTCACCATATTTACAATGGGTCTTTTGAACTTATTTCTCCTAAACTTTTTGAAGACTTTTATAACTGTATCCAACTCTTGAAATTATAAGGGAGGTAGCATTTTTATCTTTTCATTTTGACCCGTTACATTCTAGATGGGGTATCATTTCAGAGTAACGTATATTTAACAAATAATCCATCATTGTTCAAAATGAAATAATTAGGGGAACATCCCATAAATGAAAGACTTAGCAAAGACTCAGAAATAAGACGGTGTGTTCTTTTTAAACTCTTTTGTTTTCACTTAATTAATTCATATCATACATATCAGTACACATAATCATGTTTTAATGTCTGCCTAGTGTTCTCTTGTATAAATGTGCCATGATGTATTTAGTCAGCCTTCTACTGGTGATACTAGGTTGCTTCTTATCTTTGCTATGTGAGCAAACAGTACTTACTATATACAGTAAATACCCTTGTATTTCCTTTGTCACATATGTAAAATCTCTGGAACAAAGGATAGATACATTTAACATTTGTTAGATATTGCCTACTTGGTCCTCCAAAGAAGTAATATCAATTTTTTTTTTTTTTTTTTTTTGAGACGGAGTCTCGCTCTGTCGCCCAGGCTGGAGTGCAGTGGTGCGATCTCAGCTCACTGCAAGCTCCGCCTCCCGAGTTCACGCCATTCTCCTGCCTCAGCTTCCCGAGTAGCTGGGACTACAGGTGCCCACCACCACACCCTGCTAATTTTTTGTATTTCTAGTACAGATGGGGTTTCACTGTGTTCGCCAGGATGGTCTCGGTCTCCTGACCTCGTGATCCACCTGCCTTGTCCTCCCAAAGTGCTGGGATTACAGACGTGAGCCACCGCGCCCGGCTGAAGTAATATCAATTGTTATTACAACCAAAAACATTGGAAAGTGACTACATCCCTATACTATCTCCAAAATAGTACATTGTCTAACCTTTTTATCCTGGCCTTTTGTTTGGTATAAACAGTCAATTATGTCATTGGAGATTTGAGATTACATTGTTTTTTGTATTGGCAAATTATTTGAAATATCCTCAGTTATAGCAAGTTTTTATCTTTTGATGGTAAGTTTGAGTTTTCGAAAGGGTCATGTCTTATCAGAAGATAGAGAATTAAGTTAGCTGTTACCATTGATTTTTTTTTTTGTTTTTGTTTTATTTGTTCATTTTGGGAAGAGTTAGTGAGAAACAAAGTCTAATTTTTAGATAAAATTAGTATTTTTATTTGGATTATAAATTGTTTCAGAAGTGTTTCAAAAGAAGAGTTCCAAAAATGTCTAGAGTAATGACACCATTAATTGGTGTAAGATTACAGCGTTCTAAGGGGCATTATTTGAATTGAACAACATGCTTTGGATTGTGTATGATCTAGTATGTTTGTTTTAAAAAGTGACCTACTGTGATGGCTTTAGCTCAAATGAGTTGCTTTCATAGGAGGGTACATTAAAAACATAAATGCCTTCAGTTTTCTTGGACTGCATTTTTAAACTTAGATAAAGCCTACTTTAAAATAGTAGTAGATAATCTAGAAAAAGTGATCCTTTTTTACCATTATTAAACACACATTATTGGGATAATATTTACAGAAGTCTGATTTTTCTATACAAGATTAAATTATTTGTCTCTTTCATTACTCCTTCTAAACTTACCTACTTTTGCAATATAGATATAACTATCTAAAATAGGCATAGTAGCAAGCCAAATTTAGACAAATATTTGTTTTAGTTTTCAAATATTTAACTTCAGAACAAGGTATGTGTTTTAAACATCAAATTAATGTGCATATTTATATTTTCATAAAACTATTGGCAAATTTAGTGTCTTTTACTTTTTAATGTAAGCTAATTTTGAGAGAAGCAGACTCAATGCTTGCTATGCTGCAATCAGATATATAAAATTATGTATATAGAAGTCAGCCTTTATTAAGATGTTCATTAAAGCAATTGTCCTCTATTGTTTTCCAAAATAAAATTGTGTTTTTGTTTTTGAGAGAGAGAGAGTCTCACTTTGTCACTCAGGCTGAAGTGCAGTGGTGCAGTGGTGTGATCATACCTCACTACAGCCTCGAACTCCTGGGCTCAAGCAACCCTCCTGCCTCAGTCTCCCGAGTAGTTAGGGTCATAGGCACATGCTGTCATGCCCAGCTAATTTTTAAATTTTTTCTAGAGACAGGGTCTCACTTGGTTTCCCAGGTTGGTCTCCAACTCCTGGCCTCATGCAATCCTCCCACCTCAACCTTCCAAGATGGTGGAATTACAGGTGTGAACCACTGTTCCTGGCCAAAATAATACGTCTTAAGTAAACCATCTTGTTTTTATTTTCTGTGACATATCAAATTATTGTCTCGTCAGTTTACCATGAGAAGACGTTTAGGAGCTTTCAGGCATAGCACCCTTTCTCTTCAAGTATCTAATGTGTCTGCACGTTCTGTTCTGCAGAGAAATGGTCAATGCTTGGTTTGCTGAGAGAGTTCACACCATCCCTGTGTGCAAGGAAGGTATCAGAGGCCACACGGAATCTTGCTCTTGTCCCTTGCAGCAGAGCCCTCGTGCAGATAACAGTGCCCCTGGAACACCAACGAGGAAAATCTCTGCCTCTGAATTTGACCGGCCTCTTAGACCCATTGTTGTCAAGGATTCTGAGGGAACTGTGAGCTTCCTCTCTGACTCAGAAAAGAAGGAACAGATGCCTCTAACCCCTCCAAGGTTTGATCATGATGAAGGGGACCAGTGCTCAAGACTCTTGGAATTAGTGAAGGATATTTCTAGCCATTTGGATGTCACAGCCTTATGTCACAAAATTTTCTTACATATCCATGGACTCATCTCCGCTGACCGCTATTCCCTGTTCCTTGTCTGTGAAGACAGCTCCAACGACAAGTTTCTTATCAGCCGCCTCTTTGATGTTGCTGAAGGTTCAACACTGGAAGAAGCTTCAAATAACTGTATCCGCTTAGAATGGAACAAAGGCATTGTGGGACATGTGGCAGCACTTGGTGAGCCCTTGAACATCAAAGATGCATATGAGGTAAACAGGGGACCCTGAGAGCAGGGCAGGTGCTGGGGAGGGTACTATGGCTGGGGCATTGGATAGCAATCATGAATGGTGGGGATATTTGAAACTGAGATGTAATAATTTGCATACTTATTTAAAACTGGAATGTAGGCTAAGAATTTTCCCATCTTTAATTGCCAGAGTTTCTTCTCTGGTGGTTCAGCTGAGGATATGAGCCTTAAGGAAATCTCATCTTGTTTTTCTCCTTAATGATAATTTAATATAGCTCATCTCATGGTTATATTCTCCCATCTTTTTATCTGATCACTATGCATATCCCCATCTATGTTATCCCCACATGAACCTCTTAGAATTTTCCTGAGATTCTAAAATGATAGGTGCAAAAACGACAACAAAAAGAACTCATAGTCTCTTTTCATTCATTCATCCAATTAATCATGTTCATTCAAAGTCCCATTGATACCAAAGTCTGGTTTTCTTTCCTTCTATCCTCTCTTTCATTTTTTAAACAGATAAACTTACAGATATCTTCAAAAAAGTGGAAATTTTTGCTCTAAAAGTTTTCAATGGAAAGATTTGTTATTTCTTCGTCTTTTGCTATACCTATGCACAAGTCTTTAATTAAGGGCTTAAAGGTTACACTGTAAGATTCTTCAAATTTCCCATTTAAAATAATCCCTTTTATTAATGGAATTTTAGTTTTAAAACCAAACGTCTTAACTGAATGGCACTTTATATGTTTATGAGGTATCTTACAGCATCTTGATAGAACAATTGTTCTAGCTTTCTACTGTGTGGTACACTATGAAGATTCAGTAGTAATTCTGGCTCAATTCATTTAATTCAGAGAGTCATAGCTGTTTTATTGTGTTCCTGGTGCCTTATAGTGCCTGGCACATAGGGCTTACTAAATATTGGTTGAATTAAAATAATAGTACATGCAATAGATAAATAGCATAGAGAGTAGGTCATAACAGATGCCAAGAACAATGTGATAAGGTTCAGAGAAGCAAGATAGGACATCTAGTGGGAAAGATGGAGGAAGTTTTTTTTTTTTTTTTTTGGAGATGGAGTCTCACTCTGCTACCCAGGCTGGAGTGCGGTGACGCAATCTCTACTCAGTACAACCTTTGCCTCCCAGATTCAAGTGATTCTCCTATCTCAACCTCCCGAGTAGCTGGGATTGCAGACACCTGCCACCACGCCCGGCTAATTTTTGTATTTTTAGTAGAGATGGAGTTTCACCATGTTGGCCAGGCTGGTCTCGAACTCCTGACCTCAGGTGATCCTCCCGTCTCAGCCTCCCAAAGTGCTGGGATTACAGGCGTGAGCCACCGCACCCAGCCAGAGGAAGATTTCTCTGAGGGAGCAATGTCTGATACAGATCCCGGAAAATTTGAATAAATTGAATAAATTGAGATTTGTGCATGGTGAGATCCAGAGGTAAAGAGAAGTTAGAAGAGATAGGAAAGTAGGACCATGTAAGTGTGTAGATAAGAATCTGGACATGAAGGAGCTGTGGGAGCACAGCCAGGAAATTACTGAGATCTTGAATGCCAAGCTGAGGAATATATATTTGGTTTAGAAACATGAGGAGTAACTGAAGATGTTTTGAAAGGGGAACGAGTGTGATTTAAATTGTGCTTTGGAAGGATTAATTTTACAGTAGTCATAAAATGAATTAGAGGGGGAAATGCTACAAGTTGGGAGGATAGATGATAATAGTCTAAGTATGAGGAAGTAAGGACCTTAACAAGGACCCTGACCTTAAAGATCAAAAGGAGGGAATGGATTTCAGATGAAGAAGTATTAAGTTGGTGCAGAAGTAATTGCCATTACTTTTAATGGCAAAACCATGATTACTTTTGCACCAACCTAATAGAATCTGCTGAACTTGGCAGCTAATAGGAGATGCAAGTGAAGGAGAAAGAGGAATTAAAGATGACCAGGTTTTGAAGTTCGGCAAATGAATAATGATACTACTAGTGAGTAATACCGAAGGCCGGGATTTGGGGTGTGATAGTTCATCTAGGTTAAGTCCTGAAATGTTTCTTCAGAATCCATTCTGTATAAGCAATGCATTCAATTTTGATTCTCTTGGAAAAATTTACTAGTCTTCATAGAATATCTCTATGACCTCTTTGAGCTCCATAGTAACTTCACACTGTAGCAGATTCCAAGGAGGGTATTAAGGACACAGCTGAAGGATTGCTGCCAAGTTTGCAGAATCCCCTTCCTGTCTTAAGTGACAGCTGGGTATCCACTTTTCAATGGCCCTATGGTCCCATGAGTACAGTAGGATCATAAATATTCTCCAGCTTTGTTGAGAAAGCCTTTATTTGTCTTCATGGTCCTAAATGTCTCCAGCCCTGAGAATTCGTCACTTACATGCATTTTATTTAATCTGCCTACCATCTTCAAAGTTTTGACAATATCTTTTCTGTTTGGCATTTGATAATGATTTAATTCTTGTACTATTGTTTAAAACAGCTAATGTCCTTGATTTGCATGGCTCCTGGGGTGATGCCTCTTAACCTGTGGATTTCTCATGTTGCTACTTCAGCTTTGGTACCCTTGATCTGTATTTATGGTAGCCTTGCAGGAGTTATTTCATGTCCCAAGAATTTCATTAGAACTTGTGGAGGTTGATGTGTGATCTAATTTACATTGTGATCTAATTTATATTGGTATTAGCAGTGGAAGTCAGTTGGCTAATGGATAATTTATTACTAAGCACCATCCATAATTTGAATAATTAAAATACTGTGTTTTTTGAAAGTAGTCAGGATATGAAAATATATTCTAATGTTTTCTGAGTCCTAGCTCTTTAAGCATGCATCTATAAAAATGACACTGTATGGCAGATTTCTTAAGCTTATTTGACCATAGACCACTATAAAGGATGTAATGTCACCGTGGGAAACCAAGAGAGGTGTCTGTGAAACAGAATAATACTCAGATTGATGCTGAGAATTTTTTTAAAGTCTCATAAAGTTAATTATAAGAAATGACCTATATTTAGTTCACTTTTGAAACTTTGTAACAGAAAATGATATTAAGTGTTATAAATTTGAAAAATTCTGTTGTTTTATTAGTGATAAGATAACATATTCATATATTTAAAATACAAGACAAGATCCACTACTCAGACCAGTGATTCTCATGTAGACCATAAATACCAATGAAAAGATTAGTTGATAAATGCTACACATACATTGATGTTCAGTCACAAATGGTCTCATGCATCAGCCCACCATCATGCAACTACCCTGAATGTGCCACACCATATATGTATGTATTTATTTAGTTAGTTATTTTAAGCTGAAGTCTCACTGTGTTGCTCAGGTTGGAGTCCTGGATTAGGTGATCCACTCACTTCAACTGCATGAGAAGTGGGCTATGGTCCTGAGTAGGTGGGACTACAGGTGCATGCCACTGCAACCGGCTTGGGACAGCATTTATGAATAACAAGGAGATATTAACACATTTATTAATAAAATATTCACACTTATACTAAGAAGCTATTAATAGTAAGATATATAATCCGAACTACTAAATAAATGTGCTTGGTATTTTCCTTTTATAGGAAAACCAGATAACATCCAGTAACTACACAGGATTGCCCTGAACCCCGTTCCATGTCCCAAGGAAGTCTTAAACCTTCCCATGATTTCTGTGCCTTAAGGATTTACATTGTCAAAACATCTCTCCTTCTCCCAAGTCAAAACTCAGACTCATGTGCTGTTTCCACTCCAGGACAGACACTCCATGTGAACCATGATTTCTAGAGAGAAAACTTGGAGGGTCTTAGGGAAGGGTCAAATTGCCACTTATGTGGCTTTGACCATATAGCTATTATTCCTTCCTTCCCCACTTCATCTTTCCCTTTCATTTTTTTTTTTTTTCCTCCAGAGAAACAAATTTTCACCTTCTCTCACCATGCAGGACTCACTTTCTACTTCAACTATTTATCAATATATTTTTCTAAAGAAATACAAACTGTTTCAACTGAATTTCAGATGATTATTTCCAGATGAATTTTAGAAGAAAAAGAAAACCCCTAGCAATTGTAATTTAGACAAACCTCCTAATCGAGGTGTAACTGTGCCACTGGAAACACAGTTTGGGAACTGCTGTGTCTATGCTTGTTCAATGTTTCAGGCATTGTCTTAAAAATTCCACTCTGTGGAAGAAAACCAGCCTTATAATTTGTCAAGTCATCTGTGTTGTTTCCTTTTTTAAATTTTCTATTATTTTTATTTTGGTATAATTTTAAACTCACAGAAAAGTTGCAAGACCAGTATAAGAAACTGCTATATACCCTTTATCCAGATTCTCCAGTTATTTTTTCCCCCATTTGCTTTATCGTTTCCTCTCTTTCCCTCTATAATGCATATAAGTAATATATGCTTATTATTTCTGAATGATTTAATAAGCTAAAGATATGTTTTTACTAAATAGTTCAGTGTATATTTTCTAATAAGAATATTCTCTAACCCAGCCATAATAAAATTATCAAAATCAGGAAATTTTATATTGATACAATACTATTATCTAATCTGATATAAGACTATTAGCAGTCCATAGTCAAAATTTCATCAGTTGTCCCATCCCATTAATAAGCTTTAGAGTTATTTTCCCCCAATCCAGGATATTATTCAGGATCCCATATTGCACATAGTTGTAATGTCTCTTTAGTCTCCTCTCTGTTTGAAACAGTTTCTCAGCATTTCTTTATCTTTTTAAATTTAGACATTGTTGAAGGGTACAGGCCTGTTATTTTGTAGAATGTCCTTCACAAATAGATTCAAGCTAGGCCCTTTTAGCTGGAATACCATATATATTAATATTGACACCTTAACTAAGCAACAACTAATTAATTCTCCTGTTCTTTGACACTGCAACCCAATTCAACCCAATTCAGTTCTGATTCTTAACTTCATGGAGTTAGCACTGACCCTGCATGTTAAGGGCTCAATCGCACAAGCCTGCCCCAACTTTAGACGTCAGCC